ATAGATAGATAGATAGATAGATAGATAGATAGATAGATAGATAGATAGATAGATAGATAGATAGATAGATAGATAGATAGATAGATAGATTGATAGATAGATAGATAGATAGATAGATAAGAAACAACCGCCATCACTTGTTCAGGGATGATTATGTCACCTATCTGGACTTAGTTAGCTTTCGATTTTTTTATTTATTTAATGGGGACACTCAAGTTAATTTCTCCTGGATGTTCCTATGGCCTGCATAATGCTAATTAAAGTTTTCTGAGACTTTGATTAAAAAAATAATAATTAACTGTGGATCCAGGCAGCCTAATTAACAAAATCCTGGGTATTACTTAATAACTTTGGTCCCTTAAGGAACTTGAATAGAAGGTTATCTTTATAGTTACATAGTAGACTTCTTGTTATAAACCACAAATGCACAATGTATTTCCAGATAGATAGATAAATGGATGGAGAGAAAGAGAGAGAGAGAGAGAGAGAGAGAGAGAGAGAGAGAGAGAGAGAGAGAGAGAGAGAGAGAGAGAGAGAGAGATGATGGATAGGTAGGTAGATGATAGATGATGGATAGATACATACATAGATGATGGATGGATACATCGATACCATAGTCTCTTGAGACTGAAGGATGCCGATGATGATGAGGATGGATGGATGGATGGATGGATGGATGGATGGATGGATGGATGGATAGATAGATAGATAGATAGATAGATAGATAGATAGATAGATAGATAGATGATGGATAGGTAGGTAGATACATACATACATAATAGATACATAGATATTTTTATTTTCTATTCAGCTGTATAACTGAATATACATTCTCCTAGATATTCAAAAACAGGAAGTAGACCACAACTCCTTTTATGGTGGTTAGTGGGAGCTGGTTACCCTCCCCCTCTTGACTAACATTCCACGTCTGTGACTGTGTCCTGAAGAGGGTCTTTCTCCGTCTTCTCCCAGAGACGACTGGTGAAATCCCTTGAAGATCTTTGTTCTCAGTACGACTTGACCGTCCGGAGTTCGACGGGGGACATTATACAGTTCATTTACGGTGGGGACGGCTTGGATCCTGCAGCCATGGAAGGAAAGGACGAGCCCTTGGAGTTCAAACGCGTTCTGGACAATGTCAGAGTAAGTCTTAGCCACAGGGTATCTTTTCTGAAGAAGAACAGTCTTCTGGATGTCCACCAAACCCTGAAGGCCTTGGACTTAAATACTGATTGTCCCCGTCATAGTTTCATAGGTTCTGCAGCTGAAATGCCCTGCAAGATTCTTAAATCAGGGGTCCTTGGTGCTTTCTGAGTTTGCTTGTTTTCTTGCAGACGTTTCATTACCCTAACTAGGTAATATGATCAGTGCTAGAAGAGAGTGTGGGTTATGGAGAGGAGGAGAGGACTGTGGGATCCTTGGTGGTCTCTGAGCTTGCTTGTTTTCTTGCAGACGTTTCATTACCCTAACTAGGTAACATCATCAGTGCTAGTAAGGAGTGCTGTTTGCTATAAATTAATATTCTGTTTGCTATAAATTAATATTCTGGTGTCTCGCCTGTCTGCCTAAAGAGTTCTGCTCAGAAAACAAAAGCAATCTGCTCCAGGTACGACATTGGTACATATCAAACAGCAAATAGATTCTTAAATCTTGCAAGGTTTTTATCCGACGTTGTTTTGGGAAACCACTTTCGGAAAGACTCAATCAAACAGCAGCAGCAAAGCTCTTTGAAGGACCTGGGTCAGGATTATTATTATTATTATTATTATTATTATTATTATTATTATTATTATTATTATTATTATTATTATTATTATTATTATTAATTATTTGCATCAGAGGGTTATATTTGCATAAGAACGCTGAGCCGCGTTCGTTCGGAGGGAATATTGAATTTTTTCTAAGGAACCCAGGCGTAAAATAGCGCTGGAAATTGATCTGTGTGTGTGGTTCTGTGGCTTTAGGCCGTGCATCCCAGCCGTAGTGAACCCGCGCTGAGTAAAAACGAATTGGTGCTGACGGCGGAATCCATCATGAAGAAGAACGAGTTCCTTTGTTGCCAGGAAAGCTTTCTGCAGGTATGCTTTTATTACGATCCCCTTTTCCACCCAAAGATCATTTCTTTCATAAAAGGCGTGGCCCTCTTTAGAACTCAAAATGAATGTCCTTCTATTCCCATCTTGATTATTCAATAAACGGACTTGGGGTTGTTAATGTAGGTTGGCGTCTTCCTTCTCCCCGTCTCCCCAATCTTCTCAGAAATGGCTTGTTTTGTCAACCCCGGAACCGATAAAAGATTCCTAAATCTTCCACTTTTAAGACCGGATAGGATTTTAAGACAGGAGAGGACTTGATTCGTTTTAGAGTCCTTTGCCTGGACGTGGTGCCGAGATCCAAGTTTGTTTCAAAAGCAAAAAAAACCCCCAAAACTAAACTAAGTTGCAAAAACACGCTTGTTTGTTCGTTTTGTAAAAGTTGAGAAGTGTTAACTTCAACAACAGCAAAACACTGCTTTGTTGTTTTTTTTCCTGTTCGTTCTTGAAGGCTTTAACTGAAAGTGGCTATGTGGCCCATAATACGGTAATTGACGCATGTGTGTGTGCGTGTGTGCAAGGGGGGGGTTGTGTGGTCTGTGCACAGATTATGCCGAGTCTCATAACGCACTAAACTCAGCTCACTATTGGAGCAGCGTAGTAAAACCAATGTTGTACTGGAACCCACCTAGTTTATTAGTGCCGGAGCTCAGTTGCTAGTGGAGATTTAAATGCACCCTCTCCACTAGGCACCTGATGTTTTGCAACAGCTGGATGCTCCCAATGATAACGCTTGTTTTTTTCCTAGCCCTCAAAGTCTTCGGTATCTCCTTTCCTTGACTCCGGCTTCAGATTTTGCTAGAAGGAAAACCAAGGCCAGATTCTGCATTGGCAATTTGTACTCTCTCTTTTTTTTTTTTTAATTGAAAATTTTATAAAATTTTAC